TGATGCAGCCACAAGCCAAGGACACACAGGACTGCCAACAGCCACCAGAGGCTGGAAGAAGAAGGAAGGATTCCTCCAGGGAGCCTTCAGAGGAAGTGTGATCCTGCAGACACCTTAATTTCAGATTTCTAGCCTCCAGAACTGTGAGAGAATAAACTTCTCTTGTTTCAAGCTACCCAGTTTGAGACCATTGTGACCTCAGCAGCCCTGGGAAATTAATACAATGTCTATCCTAGTATTTCCCACAAAACAGAGCACAGTGCTTTGCTCACTACAGGCCCTGCACAGCAGCTGTAGAAAAAGAGGTCAGACTGCATGCTTGAGCTTTAGGACTGAGGTGGTAGCAAATGGGAAGAAAGGATAATAACGGTGGCTCATCCCACCATTACTGAGCCTTTCCCATTTGCCAATCAGTCCCCACAACTCAACACAGCCAGGATGGCTCCTGCTCCACGAGGCAGAAAGGGAAATCCGAATGATGGCCACCTGCTCAAGGTTGCCGCACAAAAGAGCTTAGATTCCTAACCTGGTTGACGCCCAAATCTATGAATAATCTTCAAAAATATGCTCATGTCTCATGAGGAGCTTTGTTCCACCAATTTGAGATTGTTTTGATGAGGCTTTTGAGAAAATAAAGCTTTTGCAAAATCTGTTAGAAAAGGGAGAGAACTATTTTTGCCCAAGAGAGTGTTATCCATGATTTTAGGACCCTCATATATAAACTTAAAATATTTGTTAATTTTTAAGAGAACTTGTTGTCTCTAAAACCAGCCTTGATCCCCAGTTACTGCTGGGTGCTGCTAATGGAACTGTAAAGAAACTTCCAGCTTGTTTCTTTGCCAACATGAAGAAACACTTCTTTGAATTTTTAAAACAAAGGATTCTATTTTGTTTTATTTTGTTTTTCACATATAAGTGAAATAATATAGTTTTTATCCTTCACTGTATAACTTAACTCATTTAGCGTAATGCCCTCTAGGTCCATCCATGTATGGGGATAGATGGTTACTAGACTTAGTGTGGAGATCACTTCATAAAGAATATAAATGTTGAGTAACCATGTTGTATACCTGAAACTAATGCAATGTTGTATGTTAACTGTACTTTAATTTTTTGAAAAATGACTCTACAGGAGTTCTCTGTAGACGTTGAAAGCCAGTAGCAATATAAACAGTGTTCTAACTAATCCGCATCTGATAAAATCAAAGACATTGTCACCATAAATAGCTAGAGTACTGGTCAAGACGCAATAAAACAAGCCCCTGTAAAGAAAATCAGTCAACAAGGGGGAGGAAATGTGAGGGTAGATGAGTAGAAAATAGAATTCTTAAATTACAAGAATAAAAGAGTACAAGTATCATTAAAAATGTTATTAATCAAAAGGATAGATTTCTGTTTTACAGCTAAACTCTAACATTTTCAGTGCAAAAAATTTTTATTGTAAATGTGACACAAGGCTAAATCATAATAATGTGAATCAATAACTAATTAGCATTTATAAATGCAGCTACTGGGAAACATATTTCAATTTCATAGCCAGGAAGCTAAAGAATCGATTAACAAAGCCACAAGTGAAGCAAGGACATGCTTGGTGCACCCAGGATGACTCCACAGGCTAAACACGGGACTGAAAGTTGAATCAGAGTTGTGTCTGCAAAATGTACAAATGTAATCCAAAGTTACTATCTCAAACCAAATCAGTAATTGAACACAGAGAAAGGGTGAGGCTTAAGGTGCTCAGATTCCCACCTATGTCACTGGAGAAATAGGTCATTTTCTCCGGATATCGTTCTAGGATGGCCTGAAGGAGATGAATGTCATAAAAGAAAGCTGAAGAAAAGGGGCAGGTGGGAGGAAGCAAGCTCAGTAAACAAGAACTGCCAAATATGCGGTGTTTGGGAAAGATACAAGGGTGCCTGACTCTGATAGAGTCATGTAAGTTGACTAGGGAAGGCGGATGACTTTACATGTTCATGCTTTCTTCAGATTTGGCATGTGTTGGGAAGAACATTGAAATGGAGTAGTTAAAATGAGCAAACAATCCAATTTGCCATGGCATCCAGTATGTGGTTTCCTGACATGATCTTGTCACTCCCCAACACACATTCAGTTAGCTGAACATATTCATTTAGCTGTCGCTGAGATGACAAGATCTTGTTCCATTTCGATCAGAGGCAGCAGCCTCCTTATTCCCCAAGGACCACCAGAGAAACTAAATTGTCCTCCAAAGCAGGAGCCAAGGACTAGGAGAAAAAAAGGAAAAGAGTAAAAGGAAAGGATCAAAACACATACGGAAGAGTGAAAGTGGAAAAAGTGATGCATTGAGAAGAACAAACAGGATTAAAAAGTAGCATGTAAGTGGGAAAAGAAGGGGTTTGGATCCCATTACTCAGATGCAGGAAAGCCTTGAGCATCACTAGGAAAGAGAAAAGGCCTTTTCCATACCTACTGGCACATCCATTTGATACAGTTGCCTCCTTTGAGACACAGGCCAGTGTACACTATTTCATTGTCAGAGATTCATTCCAGCAAAGCTCTAAAAATCGCTTTAATGTACACAAAAGTTCACATTACAGTCAAGGTGTTCTATACAGGATCTCCCTTAGCATAGCAGACTACCTGCCACATCAGTTCCCAGGTTTGGCTGGTGCCCTCATGTATTGCCTCAGTAGATCTTGGGTTCTTTCCATTCCTAGACACAGAGTATTAGCTCATCTTTGAGGGATTGCAAGTTAGTTTCAGTAAAATAGTAACAGATATTTTATATTCATATTTGGAGCCTCTCAGCCCACCTCCTATCCAGCTGAATGTGATTTCTTGTCATCCCTAAGATTGGGCTCAGTGGCCTCTGCTGCCCCCACGGCATGCTCCGCGTGCCCACGCCACTTACCACACCAGAACGGAAGCTGCTCCAGAGCAGAAACACTGCTATAGTCTCCCCAGTGCCCAGCACCTGCTACAGTGCCTAGCACATAGTTGGTGCTCAACAAATAACATGGAATAAACAAATGAATGTTATATACCTTCGGAAATGACAGAATTACATTACAGGAGCCAGGACAGCTAATAAAATTCTTGATCCAAGTCTGTGTCAGTGAAGAGTGAAGAGATTCTCCAATCGCTTATCAAAATCAATTTTTCTTAAACCGGGGCTCAGCCATTGGGTTACGCAATACTGAAATCATATTTTATACGAATCTACCTTAGATTTACTAATAGTTTTATAACAATAGGTATATACTGCTTAATGATTAAGTCCCTCTATCTAAGCACTGCTCTTTAAAATTGATAAGTTCTCCTTTGTAACATCTGCTATTTCTTTTCTCCTTCCATCCAGTCACAGACATCAAGAAGCATTTATCCACAAATAACCAAGTGCCTTAAACTACAGCTTCCTGTGCCTCCCTGAGTGGCCCATTTTCTTGTATCTCTTTCATGTGAATAACTAGCTTGGGTTGGACAGCTCACCCACATAAATTTGCATAAGGATGATCATCCAGTCTACTGTTAATCCTTCGTCACTGTGGTAAAGTAGTAAATGTTCCAAGATTCCTCTTGGTCAAAGAGTTGTTCTGCAAAGCATTATGAACCTGTGAAAAGCACCATATTTTCCTTATAAGTATTACATCAAATTTTCTTTTTTGAGTTAAGAAGCCTCTGTTTTCTCTCTGGCTACATTCTTGCACACAAATCCCTTGCAAATTACTTTTCAAATTCCAAGGTTCATTAATTTAATTGAATCTGTTCCTAATTTTTAATTAAATTGGAATTTCTCTGCAAACTTTGGAAAGATAGAAGCCATATTACCATATTGGAGAGGACAAGATCAGAGAGCAAGACAGATACTATAGAGAAGCACAAAATCACAAGGCAGATTTTCTTATAAATTTATTTTTGTACCAAAAAAATTTTAACATTCAAAGGCAACATTTTTATTGTACAGTATAAAGTAACTTCCACTAAATTAAAAAATGGGATTCTTTTGCTGATAAGCCACTGATAACTTTTCCATTAAAAAAAACAAAATTTACAATTTTCAGCATTTATAGAAATAACACCTGTTCAATAATTACATAAATACTGTTGACAGATTCCAATAACCCATTATGTATCTTTTTTGGCACTGTCAGCTTTCTAAAGTCAATTAGGTTCTAAATTTGAAAGGCACCTGGTGGCCAACATCCTGTTTATTATTAAGAGCATCTATTTTAATTTTTTTTTGCCACAGATTTGACAAGTCTGAAAAATCTATTAAGTTAAAAAGAATGAAGAAATATAATACAGTTGATATTAACAAACAGCATTTTTTTCCCTTAGCTGCAAGTTTCCCCCAGGGGATTTACAAAGTGCACCAGTTAAATATGTCTGTACATTTAAAACATTAAATATGTCAACAGTAAGACATTTTTAAATATTTTGAATCAAATACTATAGCACAAATATAATTTACAATACTTTGCACAGAAAACATTACATCTGAAATATAACTTTAGATATTATATAAAAATACATATATTTTCTCTCCTCATTAGAAAAAAAGTATTTATTTGCAGGTTCCAGCATGATGTAACAATTCCAAATAACACAACCCTTCTGATGGGCATCCTTTTGCGATTAGATAACAAACACACTCTCTACTTCAGCTGCATAGTGGCCATAACCAAGGGCCTAGATCCAGAGAATTAACCCCTCTTATGGCCTAAACGCAGTTTTCTGTAATTGCTCCAATCTGGTTTAATTCTAGGAATTCATTACAAAATTAAAAAACCACTGTGTAAGAAAGCCTTCAGACTGTAACATGCCTTCAGTCCAGCATCTTCCTTTGGCTGGGAATACACATGCTCTCTACAGCATCAAAAGCTTAGATAAACTCCTCTTATACCATGTGGGTCACACCTCGTAGTAGTTTTACACACCTATATACATCTTTCTTGGCTTGTTTACAAGAAAAGTTTCCATACATCCTAAGGAATACATGCTAATGTTCCACAAAATGAGGGTCAATCTAAATCTCGTACTTTAAAAGCCCCAAAGTACGTTGCATCTTGATCTGGATCCAGTAGTGAAGGATTGGATACTTCGATGCTTATTTCCTCACCAGACCGCAACTTAAAAAACCCTCCAACGTTGATGGAGTAAAAATGGAACTCAGAATTCCCTGACCAGTATTTGGTGCTTCCTCCTTTCATCAGGGTATGAGAACTTGGGATTTTGATGCTGGTTTTAGTGACATACACCATCAGCTGAAGATACTCTGTGTCGAGGTCTCCCGAAGTTTCATGATGTCGAAAGCAAATGTTGGCATACAGGTAATAAAAACCATCCTGGTTGACTATTAGTTTTCCGTTGCTGAAAGTCATGTTGGAGATCTTGGCCCAACCTCGGTCATGGTACCAGGAGGGCAACCTCACTTTGTGGGAACCTAGGGAGAGGAGAGGCATGTCATTTAAAATCCACCCCTTTGATGACAAGGGCATCCTCACAATTCTATGAGTTTGGAAAAAATGTAGCATAGCAGTCATCGTTCCACCAGGAGAATAACTTTTCACAATTTATTTTCTAAAAGGGGAGAAATGCATTAAAATGTATGTAGTGCTCCCTGGTAGGCACTCATTTTTCCTGTTCTTGAGGACCCTACAGTACACCAGGGATAAGTATGGTATGTGTTCAGGTAAGGGGTACATCATGAACCCTGATAGGAAAGAGGCAACTAATTGCTATGAGAATTCAAAGGAAGGAAAGGCGATCCCTTAGAGCAATCAAGAGTGACTTTGTTGAGTTGCTACTGAGCCTGAGAACTCAAAGGAGAAATAGAATGCAGCCAACAGAAGCAGAAAGTCATTCAAGGTTGAAGGAAGAGAACAAGCCAAAGACAGCTGAGACAGGACTCAGGAAGTAAGGACAGGTGGAGAACTCTCATACTTCCCAGGAGTCCTTCTTCTCTTTTAGTTCACAGAACGGTATGCAGAAGGAAATGAAAGTCTGGGTCACAGTGACTTTGACCAAAAGGTCTAACTCCTAAAACGCTATTCTCATCGCCGATTTTCCCCTCCTCCAACAATCCAAATGCCTCCCAGGCCCACACAACTGAAAAAAGCTGCTCCCAGGGGAGTTCCTGAAGAAAATATTCCTGCCCTTGCACTCCACAGCTTCACAATTTCACAGGATCCTTCGTGACCAAAGTGCCACAGTGCCCCTTCTCACCCTGAAATGTGGAGACAAGCGTCCTCATGCTGCTGTTCTGGAGCACTGAAAGTTTCTAAAGAATCTTCTAAATCAGCAATGTGTCCAATGCTTTTCACAGCTTAGGGCTTTAGAGTATTGTATTAAGGTAAAAGTTGTCAATACCTCTACACCCAATTAAGCAATCATTTGTGCTTATGTGGACACCTATTACTCAACAAGGTATCAACTAGTGGGGGGTGGGGGGAGGTTGTTATGTTGTGGAAAGTCCAAAAAAACATTTATCCTCCAAAAGATCTCATAAATATCTATGCTAAACTAAGGTTGGCATCTGTTAAGATTTCAACAAGGCAAAACGGAGCTGAGGAGTCCAAGACTGCGGTTGGGGTCAGCCTCTCCAGCCAAGGCAGGACAACTTCGTTGCTGCCTGCCACCCACAAAAAAAAGAAAAAAAAAATAGGTCCACAATGGGTCTTAGGCTTAAAAGTAGATTCCATAGATCCATCAGAGCTGGAAGCCCTCTAGTTACAGTGAGCTTTTGGGGGATCTTTGCAGAATAAAAAACCCATACTGGCTATCTTCCCAGGCTAGTCCGAATCCTGGGGAGCCTTGGGGCACCTGCAGCTTTCTCTAGAGAGCCACAAAAAGGAGAATGCTCTACTATTTCTATAGGACCAGTAGGCAGCCTGGAATATGGTCTGGAGACCTCAGAACCAGGCTGTTCCAAGAACCAACCAGGTGGTTGGGCAAATGAAAAAAAGAAAAACAAGGTACAGAGGCATTGCTATAGTGGGGCAACTCAGGTTCAGGCCTGTGAAGTGAGGGCCTGTGACTGGAATCCTTCTGTCCAGGAACAGTATATTTACTGAAATCCACATCTTATCCACGGGAAGGCGCCAGAACCAGCCTGAGAAGACTTTACAGGCTCTGCTGCCTTCAGGACCCTCAACAACACATGTGCTTTTTCACTGGAGGTCCTACCTCAGGTCATCCCAGATTCAAACATCCCAAATGTAAATGCCATCCCACGGTCCCAAGTGAGTCAAGGTGAGACTACAAGCCTCACATCCTCATGAATACTAACAAAGTAATTTTGCCAAACTGATAAATAGCCATGCAATCCATTGGCAAAGCTAACAAGATTTAAGATGTTTCCCACCTCAAATTATCAAGTTTCCTTCCTTCTCACCCTACTCCTGAAATCGATACTTATACAATCAATTATTTGTCTTATAGTTTATCTCCTATGACAGCTGTTAGAGAGGAGTGGAATGGCAAAGGCAAAGTCTACCCTTTCAGTAGGATAGGTCCACTAGTGTTAAACCAAGGGCTCAGAGATATGGCCTGGAAAGGCAAGGAAGAAATACGAGCCAGGGAGGGGAAAAGATGGGACCGTTGACTGCATACCACTCTCACTGTTAGCTAAAGTCAGGTGGAAGGAGTGCCATTCCCTACAAAACACATCTCTGCTTTTATCCACTCATTCATCCATGCACTGATTAATTTAGTTGATGAACTATCCAATAAATGAGGTTGTGCTTTCTATGGGCACTCCTCTGCCCATTACTAAGAATTCTATCAAGTAGTATACCTTCAAGGCACTACCCACTAGCAGTGGAGAAAATGAGAAATGGGCATATACAATGAAAAATGTAACATTTTCACTTCTGCATGTCACGAAGCCCGTGGTGAATTTCAGTTGCAGCAATTCACAGTGAAAGGTCCAAAAATTAACAGCAATCAGAAGAGTTCAGCCTAGGGAAGAAACAAAGGAACCAGAGGACACAGAGGCCTTGGATCAAACATAGGTGAGAAAAGAGAGAGTGTCATCAGTGAGGCAAACTGTCCAAGCGAAGGATGGAATACACACAGTGCACAGAGGAGAAAGGATGCCTCCTGAAGAGACAATAGTGGGAGATGAGATGAGAAGATGATGCTGCGGTCACGTTGAAGGACCTCTCATGGCACACCTGGGTGTCCATCATTTATGAGGCACGCCGATGATCTCTCACTCCAGTCCCCAGTCACTATGGCCATGGCTGTTCAGTTGGAGAAGAGGCCTCCACATATATTTAGCCTGAGGATCCCCCTGAAGAAAGCCACATATTCTGACCTCACAAAATACTTTGCAATGCATATTATTCAAGAAGCTTTGCCAATGCACAAGCTAACAGTCAATATAAGGAAGATTCTGATTTTTCTTATGTGTAATTAAGTATAAAGCAGATGCCCAAAATGAACAAGCAAAATTAAAGCCACCTTCCTCTGAAGTATCTAGTACTGGCCAAAACTGGGAGATAAATGGCCTCAAGGGGTTGTTGGTTCAGCCAGGGGAGCAAATTCTATTTTCTTAAACAGAAGCATATACTAACATATTTCACTCAGTCTCAAACTCAATAACCATTGGAAAATAACCAGAAATTTTGCCTTGTTTTTTGGCAATGATTTGATTCTAGGTGCCTGGAGAGAGAGCTTTAAAAATAAAACATGCTTGTTATTGCCAAACAGTCTTTGGCACACAGTCTAATGCAATATTTATCATATGCCCTTTAAAATGAACTGAAGAAATAAATGCAGAGTGCATTCATAGCACACACAGCTGATGCATCAGTATTAATCTGTTTGCCTTTGCTAACATGCAAAATAGTTTTACACTCAGAAAATTAGTGTAGCTCCATCATACGGCACACGCACGCACACACACATGCACACAGAAAATGTGTTTATGAAGCAAGTATCTGTGACAGAATAGAAAGTTTAGGAAAACCTTCTGAAAACTAGAATCGGTTTCTCACTTTCTATGTGTGCAATCAGGAAAAAGGTCCTCCATGGCTCATGTAATGATGACAGTGGTTTCAACATTGTTTACTAAAACCTGGATTTTTTTCAACTCCAAGAAATATCTGCCTTAAATCATTTTTAGAACAAAACGGAATATGTATAATTATTTAATTAAACTCTAACAATAATAACAAATTGTGCTTCCTGGGTGCTTACTACGAGTCACCTTCCATATAAGAATGTTAGTGCACTACCTCATTAAATCTTCATAGCTCCCCCAAGGGGTGGAACATAGGTATCACCTTCACAGGGAAGGAGCCGAGGCACAAATGATTCCCATAATTTGCACAGTCACACAGCTAGTAAACAGACAGTGGGTCCACAAACCTCGCAGTCAGACTTTAGAGCCCCTGCCTAATAACCCTATGCTAATATACTTCTCACAGAAGAAAGAGAGACAAAAGAGTCAAAATTTATTTCTCCTGACAAATCCAACTGGCCACAAGGTACTTAGATAATAACTTATAAAAAGCAGAAACTTGGGAATCAACTAGAGTGGAATTCAGCTTCTAATTCTGCTACCACTGTGACCTTGAGCAGGTAAACTATGTGGACCTCAGTTTCCTGTCTGCAAAATCTGAATGAAAATCACTACCTTGCAGGGTTGCAGCAAGGATTAAAGATAATGAATACAGAGTAAAATGGCTAATACACATAGAATGTGTTGAATAAGTGGCATAATAGTAATAATAACAATAATGTTCAATTGTCACTCTGTCATAATGTTCTTTGTAATCTTTTTGATGCTCCAATATCCCAAGAGTAAGCAGCAGGGATAATGGGAGGAAATGACTGGGGCACTCAGGTACCTGTCGACACAGAGCTCTGGGCTTCCTCATTTCCAAAAGATCATCAGATCTCTGTCCACGGAGCGAAACTTTCACCCAGAGAAAGCGATAACCTCCTGAAGGAGAGGCCTGTTTCATTTTCTAGAGAGCTCCTGCCTCTTAAATATCACTCTGTCAAGCCTGTACCTGGAACTCTGCAGGATATGGCTGAGTGTATGAGTACCGGGATGGCTCTGCACACATCCCAGGTCAGCAATGGGGACGTGTCACCTTCAGCTTGGGTAAATACGCATGAACGCAATAAAGGATTGTTCTTTCCAATTATGCAATCTCAATTGGAAATCATTTAAAATAAACACACTCTGGCGATCTGAAAACGAATATATTAGTGATGTCCAGTCTGGCATGATTGAGAATCACTGCTTCCACAATGTGGATCACCCCCTGAAGACTGAACAATCTTTCTTCTGATCTAGAAGTTAAAGGCTCTCAAAAATTTAGTAACAGGCTGATAATAGGTCTGAGTATTCAAATGGGGCTGATAAATGACCCTTGAAATACTTTTTAAGTTGGAGGCAAAGGCGACTTACCTGATGGGATGTCGGTGGCATTAATAGTGAGATGAGCATAAGGCTGAGTCTCAGGCTTGCTCCTTCTGGCCAGATCTAACCAGGAACCTTCCACGGTAGCTGGATATGGGAGAAATCATGTTAGCCCGAAGAGCAGTGACCTTAGGAGATTTCAGATATTCATACAGAGCCATACGTACGTTTTTCTGCTCGGATGTGTTGAGATCTAACAATATGCTGTAATTCCTGAAATAAAAAGAAAGAATCTATTTATACATTCTTTTAATAAAGCAGTAAGAATTCAGGGCTGTTGGACACACTGTAAATAAATCTTCTTTCCTGTAAAATATGCCATAAGGAGTAAAATCCCTTGATGTTCCAGATAGCTATCAAGCGAAGTTCACCTCAAAGAATTATGTTGATGTGCTTAAAAAGTAGACTAATGAAATACTGTCTAACAAAATACTTTGGACAATAAGAAGGAAAAAAGACAATGTCAATTATGAAACATAGAATAATTGAACATAATTAAAAATTTGTAGCAGGTACAGAAACGGAGATAAAGTTAACTGGGAAAATGACAATTACCACAGAATACAGGACTCTCTCAAATCTTTAGGGAGGTTCCTTTTATGTCTATTTCATCAGTAAATTTCTATTATAGCACTACAGGAAAGAGAATGATGTCTAGCTCACAGTGGTTAGTTGCTGGGTTTTTTTAATTTAAAAAAGTCACAGTTTGTTTAAAGTACTACATTGAAGTCTAAGAGCTTTTAGAGTACCAATAATTACCTTAAAATATTGCGACAAACAGGGGTTTAGGAGAATGAGTCAGAAAACAAAAGAACACAAGCACATAAAGAGAGTAGGTAATTATGTATTTCAATTGGAGCCCTGCAAATGGAGGATCCAACAGGTGAATAAATGCACACTCAACTGAATCAAATCCAGCAGCCATTTATGATCAAAACTCTCAGCAATGTGGGAATAGAGGGAACATACCTAAACATAATAAAGCCTATATATGACAAACTCACTGCCAGCATCATACTCACCAGGCAAAAACTACAAGTATTCCCCTTAAATCAGAAACAAGACAGGGATGTTCACGTTCACCTCTCTTATTAAACATAGTACTGGAAGTCCTAGCTGCAGAAATAAGACAATAAGAAGAAATAAAAGGCATCCAAATTGGATAGAAAGAAATAAAACTCTTTATTTGCAGATGACATGATACTGTACAAAGAGAACCCCAAAGATTACACCAAGAAATGACCAGGACTGATCAATGAATTCAGCAAAGCAGCAGGATACAAAATTAATATCCAGAAATCAGTTGCATTTTTATATGCCAATAACAAACTAACAGAAAGGGAAATTGAGAAAATAATCTCATTCACAATTGCTTCAAAAAGAATAAAATACCTAGGAATAAACATAACCAAGGATGTAAATGACCTGGACATGGAAAATTATAAGACACTGAAGAAAAAAACTGAATAAGATACAAATAAATAGAAGCACATATCATGTTCATAGACAGGAAAAATTAACATCATTAAAATGTCCATACTACCCAAAGCAATCTATAGATTCAACAAAATTCCTATCAATATTCTAATGACATATTTCACAGAACTAGAACAAACATTTCCAAAATTTATATGGGACCACAAAAGGCCCCACATAGCAACAGCAATCCTGAGAAAGAAGAACAAAGTTGGAGGAATCACGCTACCTAATATCAAACTGTACTACAAGGCCATGGTAATCAAAACAGCCTGGTACTGACATAAAAACAGGCACATAGATCAATGGAACAGAATAGAGAGCCCAGAAACAAACGCACAGCTTTATAGTCAATTAATATTCGACAGAAGAAGCAAGCACATACAATGGGCTAAAGATAGTTTATTCAATAAATGCTGTTGGGAAAATTGGACAGACACATGTAGAAAAATGAAACTAGACTACCTTCTTACACTACACATAAGAATGAATTCCAAATGAATCAAAGACTTAAATGTTAGACCAGAAACGATAAAAATCGTAGAAGAAAACATAGGCTGCAAAATCTCAGACACTGCTCATAGAAATTTTTTATTGGATATATCTCCCCAGGCAAGGGAAACAAAAGAAAAGAGAAACAAATAGGGCTACTTCAAACTAAAAAGTTTTTGCACAGCAAAGGAAAACATCAACAAAATAAACACACAGAATGTATTTGCCAATACATCTGATAAGGGGTAATTTGATACATATGATACATATACATCTAATAATATGTATAAAGTACCTCCAAAACTCAACAACAAAAAACAAACAACCCAATTACAAAATGGGCAAAAGATCTGAAAAAAGATTTCTCCCAACAGAACATACAGGTGGTGAATAGACATATGAAAAGATGCTCAATGTCACTAGTCATCAGAGAAATGCAAATTAAAACCACAATGAGATACCATCTCACACCTGTCAGAATGGCTATCAACAATAAATCAACAAACAAGTGCTGGTGAGAATGTGGAGAAAGGGGAACCTTTTTGCACTGTTGGTGGGAATGCAGACTGGTGCAGCCACTGTGGAAAGCAGTATGGAGATAACTTCAAAAACTTAAAAATGGATCTGCATTTTGACCCAGTGATTCCACTTCTGGGAATATAGCCGAAGAAACCTGAAACACTAATTCGGAAGAACATAAGCACCCGTTATGTTCATGCAGCATTATTTACGATTGCCAAGATATGGAAGCAGCCCAAGTGTCCATCAGTAGATGAGTGGATAAAACAACTATGGGACATTTACACAATGGAATTCTACTCTGCCATATAAAAGAAAATTTTACCCTTTGCAACAGTATGGATGGACCTGGAGAACATTATGTTAAGTGAAATAAGCCAGTCAGAGAAAGACAAATACCATATGATTTCACTCACATGTGGAATCTAATGAATAAGCTGAACTGACAAGAAAAACAGAGACAGACTCACAGATGGAGAGCAGATGACAGCTAGTGGGGGGAGGAGGGAGGGGTGGAGGGATTGAGCAAAAGGGAGAAAGAACTCATGGACATGGACAACAGTGGGGTGGTTGCCGGGGGCAAGAAGGGTATAAGGAGACTAAATGGTAATGGCAAAAAATACAATAAAGATTAATTTTTTAAAAAACAGCAAAAAAAAAAAAGAAGAAAGAAACCTTTTTATTGGCATGAAGAATAAAGTAAATTGGAAGTAATGGCAAGCTTCTATCACTTGAATCTTCCTAGTACTGAATTCAGAGAAGGATACCATAAAAATAAAGATGTTTTACCCTTTAGAAAAAAAAAAAGATCATAGCTACCATTAAATAGGTGGACTGAACAAAACTTTGGGCTTTGACCTTGGTTCAAATCCCTGCTCAGCCACCTATTTATACTGAGGATATTAACAGCAACTCTATCATATGGTGATTGTGAAGATTCCATGAGATAATGCATGTAGGCACTTAGTAGTGTCTGTAAATTCATATTTCTAAATACTAGAATCATTCTGGAGAGATTCCTAATTTCTGTCACTGGGACAACCACACATGCTAAGAATTTCCCCTCCATGATGTTTAATAGATAGGCCAAATAGCTTAAGTTCTTTGAGTGTCTGGAGATAATTGCTTTGAAAAAGATGGTAGATAGATGACAGACAGACAGACAGACAGACATCCAACGACACAACTTCAAGTGTTAACATTTAGAAGGGTTCTAGAAGTAAGCTGACACTCTTCTTTACCTCTAGGAGCCCCGAGATAGATGAGAATCTGTTCCGTTTGTAAAGACCCTTGGAGGAGACAGTACAGCTGTCTTTATCTACCTGTTCTAAAGTCCTAAGGAAATCACAGTGTGACTGACTTTTAGAAAGAAACCTTGGAGGCTCATCCAGGGCCACCTCCTGCCCTTGCTTTGACCCAGGGCTCTGGGAGCGCCACTGACAGGAAATTCTAGGCAAACGCCGCCCGCGTTGAGTTGTGTCAGGCAGCGGCCCTTACCAGGCACCGTTCTCCCCATGCCTTCCAGCCTTTCTTTCTTTCCCTGCTGACCTCCTATCTCCCAAGTCTCTCTCATGAACTTTGGATTCCCAACGGTATCTTGATTTCTGGAATTTCCTGGTTTGGTCTCTCCTGCATTTACAACAGAGATTGTATATATGCACAATATATCTCGATATATTTTACATAGAGATGTAAAATATAAACATGTATATACACACACATATATATTCCCTTATACATTTATAATGGATATATAAATATATAGTGTGTATATATATATTTATAATACAATATATCTTTATACATTTATATATGCCATATATATGTTTACCTGACTACTAGCTCTTAAAGAGTTGGAATAGGAACTTTGATAAGAGAGTAATTCGGAGATTTTCTACCCCTCATTTTCCTTCTAGCCCCGCTCTACCTCATCATCAGAGGGAAGGAGGAGGAGAGGAAAAGAAAGCCAAGTCAAGTATGACATATGCCTGCAAATTCCTGTTTCATACTTTTCTGAGAAAAACACACTTTTTACTGAGAAAAACAAGAAAAGAGGCTTTGTGCTAGCTCGGTGGTTTTCAGACTTCAGCATTCTTCACAGCCTCTCAGAGGCCGTGTCGAAACAGTTTCTGATCCAGTAGTTCTGGGGTAAGGCCTGAGATTTGAATTTCTAATAGGTGAGCTGGTGCTTCAGGCCTGAGGCCTCTAATTGAGAACAGCAGTCCCTCTCACACCCCAAAATACATCAGAGATGTGCAAACCTGAGTCTTTCCTGAATGCTGGGACCTAGGCCAAAGGGACAACAGGCTCAAGTCACTGACTGAGTGGGCAGGGGAAGTTTGCTCCCTTCCTCCTGGGAAGGAACGTCTCCTGCCCATTATTAAGTCAGCAGCTCCAGGTCAGAGCTGTCACAGAGCCTTGCCGTTGCAGGAAAGTCCAATAACCAGCACCATTCAGAAGCACTTTCACTGTGTGCTATAGGAGGAAAAACAACAACAACAAAAAAAAAACCCTGGCATGACCAAGGATGAATTAAAACTCTAACTGGAGACTCTTGAGGTACCACTGCTTTCATGTTATATCTGTTGTTAGGTACCCACAGATTGCGATTCCACTCAGAAAAAAAAAATAGATGTTTCCATGTAAAAAGGGGGGTAAATGATATGTTTATAACCTTAGGCTACGAAAAAGTATATTCTCAATATCTGTTCTTATATCCCCACCCC